GAGGTGTGGGAAGGAGTTGGAAGGGAGCCCAGGAGGGGGCCAGAGCTGGGCCAGCGCAGGGGTGTGGAGCAGTGCCCGGAACCCTGGAAGGACAGCTGCCCAAAGAGGGCCCTACTGGGGCATCCGGGCCGGCCCCAGGAGAAGGAGCTGGGAATCAGGACTCATGGCTCGCCGGCCTCCTCCTCATCACAGTCTCTTGAAGCCAAGCAAGGATGCTGGAGCTGACGCCCGGGGCCTCCCATCGTCTACCCACCCCTCATGCAGCAGCTTCTGCAGTGCCCACCGTGAGTCCCGAGGGGCTGGCCTGGGGCAGCCCTGACCCAGAGGAGGGCCAACCTGGGGCAGCCACTGGGACATGGCGTCTGGGCACCAGACACCTCACTGGTGCTCACGGCCCACGACCTCCACTCAAATGTTCATTTGCCTGACCACTGACAGCCAGGGCCCGCTGGGGCCCTTGTCCCCCACACTGCAGCCAGCTTCTCCCACTCAAAAGCCCAGACTGGGCCAGCCCACCGGCCAACCGAGCACAGCAGTCACTTGACCCCGTCTGGTCCACGGCCTTGAGCAGGAAATAAACACCAACGCTGATATGCGCTGAGCAGTTTCTGCTGAGGAGGCGGTGGCCAGAGGGCGCGGGGGCCACCTGCAGCTCCTGGGTGCTGCCAGAGAAGGGCCTAGACTGGGCCTGGCTGAGGAAGGAGGCAGCTGTCAGGGGCCAGGGTCCTCTGGCGATGAGGGGCAGCCTCCCAAGGAAGGGGTTCAGCAGTGTCCTCTGGGTGGGGAGCAAGGGGAGGAGGAGGGGGAAGGAACCTGAGGCACTCACCAGCCCCACACGCCCTCCTCCGCCCCTTGGGCTTTCCTGCCTCCTGGCAGCAGAGCCCCAGCAGCTTACAGGCACAGGGTCCCAGGGCTCCCTGTGCTGGTGCTGTGCCCAGCAAGAGAGAAACTGCCCACCCGCCCACTGGGGAGGGCACACGCACAGGGTCCTTTAACCTGGAGAGGCTTGAGTTTAGCAGCAGATCCTGGAGGTGTGGAGCTGCTACTGTGTTTGGAGGTGTCCTGAGGACCCTGCCTGACGTCGGGGTGGGGTGCGTTATCAGGTGACCAAGCAATTTCTGGGTCACACCCTACCCTGACCATGGGGAGGCTGGGATGGTTTTCCTTCCTTGTCTAACCAAATTTCTGAAATGAGCTATCTGTCACCAACTCCCCAATTTCCTCACTGTCCTGTGGACTTCTGCTCTCACAGCTCCATCCACCCTAAGCTTCTAAGAACCTGGTAGGGGGAGATGGAGGAGGGAAGTGGTTCCAGTCTCATGACAGGCACGGCAGATGTCCTCTGTCCTCTAAGAGGCTGGCCTGGGGATCGTCCTGATGATGCCCGCTCCCTGGACCAGGGACTCTCGCTCCCTGGACCAGGGACTCTCACTTCCTGGGGGAGGGGCTTATCTGCTCTTGCCACTTGAGAAACAACTCTTTTTAAAGGAGGGGCTCTGTACTTTGACGGTAAACATCTGGGTGAGAAGTGGTGGGAACCCCGCCCAGGTTTGTGTCTCTGGGTCTGAGTCTGGGCCACTCCCCCGAGCAGTCCATCCCAGACAGGAACTTAATACAGCTCTCCCCTGCACCTGCATACGAGGGTGAGGACTGAAGGCCAGGACAGACGAACATCTGCGGAGACCTGGAAATCAGCCATGTACACATGCTCACTACACAGTGGTCTGGTGCTCCTGGTTATTGTGTCAAGGAGAACTCACAGCCCTGCTTCTGGGGCACAAACGTCCAAGCAATGCTGAAATTACTTTAGAACAGCCTGTCATCACTTAAGATAGAGAACAGAGAGAATAAAGCTGCTCACTCTCTCCCTGGTGGGGGATGGGTTGTCAATGATGATTGCTCTTAACCCTGCTGCTGACTGGGACCCCAGACTATCCTGAAGCCCAAACAGACTCAGCGCATATGAACCCTGCACACATCCTCAGGGAGACAGGACTGGAGCCCTGTTCTCCTAAAAACCCAGGGCCAAAAAAGTTCCACAGATGCTGCAGACAAGATGTCAAGAGACACAGGGTGCTCGGTGGGAACTAGGGCACGACAGGATCATCTTCCTGTCTGTTAGCTGACACCACCCACCCCGAGCTTGAGGAGGTCCACGTGGTAACAGGCCTGTGGTCCCCCATGTCAGGCAGCTTCCAAAGGGCCCCTGAGCCTTAGAAGAGACTTGCAGAGGAGAGACTCCAGGCGGGAAGGAGTCCAGCTCTCAGGGGGTGACCTAGACTTCCCAGGTGCCTCCCGGTTCTGATATCCCGAGAAGGCATGAGATACCGTTTCTGAGCCTCCTGGAACAATAAAAAAAAATTTAAGTGACGAAATATAGTATCAAAACAGTGATTTACCGCAAATTTTTTTTGTAAATTGTGTTCAATTCTCTCCCCTCAAAAAAGCAAGAAAGCAAGCAAAACAGCAAAAAAAAA